CAAGCAGACACCTCCATACCTGGATGGAAATAGACTGAGAATCTTCTGGGTTACTTTGAGTCCACCAGGCAGAAAACATTTAGATAGGTTACTGATTGAAGCTGAAATCTGATGAACTCAGATGGTGGTATTTGGGGGGAAATAATTTTTCAATAAATCATCCAGTTGGCTCAGTGATTAAGAAAATGGAGTGGAAGAATCTAACCCAACTTTGTGACAAGAGAACAAATAGAGGAGATTAATGCCTCTCCCAATATGTTTCAAAAGGCAATCAAACAACCACTCTTGATTTTACAAGAAAGATGAGGCACAGAGCTTTCCAGCTCTAAAAAAATTATTGTTTTGTTTCTTTGTTTTCTGGTTTCTTCTAAGTCCCTATACTAGGTGGTTGGAAAAACAGGAGACAAGCTTTGTTTCCAACACTTTCTCTGGACCTGTCTCAGGGTCCCTGGGCTTCCCTTCAGGTTGCCCATCCCCATCCCAAGGCTTACGTGGTTCATTGAAACTTGAAGACAGTGCCAGAATCCAAATTCAACCTGTCATACCTGATCTTGATTTTTCAAAAAACAATATAAAAAACACAATTCTGTCCTACCAAGAAACTAAGCCATTATCTTCTGTCCTGTTGAAAACAACCTGGCCTTTGTTTTTCAAATGCTCCCTACATTCCTGAGGAAAAGAAAAGGAACAAAGGAAAAGTGGCCAAGGAGGAGCCCCCTTTGAATCAACCTCTTCCTTCTCCTGGGCCAGCCCCTCCTTTGGGATCTGCTTCTTGACCCAGTCAGCAGGGCTTTATTGCTATGAGCTCCCCGCCCTCACCCCCCACCCCCGGACAGCCTGGATGGCTCAGGAGAGCCAGGCCCTGGGTTTTCCCTAGGCCTCCTGCAAAATCAGCAACGCAGCCTGGCTGCTTTTAATTATAGCATCCTTCCTCCTGCCCTTGACACCGAGGTCCAGGGGTCCCAGTGGTGTTCTGGGTGGCACAACGTTTGGGGTTTGCTGGGGAAACAAAGGACACGGCCAAAGCAGATGCGAGTCAAGTTGGAGTTCACTGTGAACTCTCCTTTCCCGTCTGCAGCCATGTGGTGCTGTGGCTCCAACCCATTAAAGCCAATGCCCAAAGCCAACTCCTGCGTTTCCTTCTCCACTAGGTCCTGGCACCCCTTAGCCTCACTCTGGGTTAGCCACACCTCTAAGTTTTGCCACTCAGTGGGTGCTGGGGCTTTCATGATGAACTCTGGGGACATAACAAAAAATGTATTAATGGCATCCTCCACCCCCTTCACCTTTTCCACTTCAGTTGCACAAAAGAGCTGAACTCTCCCTCTGCTGGGCTTTGGCCCCTCTCAGAGTTCGAACTGACAGGAAACTGGTGGCTGTGAGCTCCCTCTCTCCTTTGGGGCCCAAGTATTTCCAGTGTTTGGGCCCAACCATGAGAGGCCAGGATCCCTGACAAGTGCCGGACAAAGAAGATGCAAACAGCAGTATTACCATGGTAATGGCCTGAGCCAGGCGGCCTCCTGAAGATGTTGGGAGGGTGGGTTTTCTTTCTTTTACTTTTTCTTTTTTCCCCCTCCCCCGCAAAAGAAGAATAGTTCCGCTCTCTATTTTACTACAACAATAGCGTGGACCGGCTCCTTCAAGTGTTTCAAAAAGCAGCCTGAGAAATCTCTACCCAAGCCCTTCAGCCTCTCCAGCCTGCCGTTTTATTGTCCCTCCCATCCCAGTGAACAAAGGGGCAGGAAGGGTATAAGGCCCCCAGTTGCCGGCTGTTCTCAGCATCCTAATCCTTGAGAACTGGTGAGGGGAATGGCCTGTGGAGCCGGTAAATGGAATTCTGGCCTCACCTTTTATTCCCCGCCTCTGCTTATGCACTCAGGAGCTCTCCAGGTATTATAAAACCTCCTGGTTAGCAGGCCAGTAGGAATCTTGGGGCTTGCCAAGGGGCTAAAAGGCACTGAGGGATCATTCCCACATTCACTAAAACTACCCACCACCCATCCCCACTGCCAGAAAGGCAGCCTGTTTGGGTTCTTCCCCACCGCTCCAGGCTGGCTCCATTACAAAGACTGAATGTGGCTGGGCTGGCAGTTTCTCTATTAGTTGGTACCACAAGAGCTGCCCTCACCCTTCCAGCCCTTCGCCTCTCCGTCCCTGTGCCCCTCAGGCATGAAGTGCATACCTCACCCCACTCCAGCTCCAGGTACCAACCACCATGCCAACTCAGGGCTATGATTCCAGAGCACCCCTCACACAAGGAGAGCTTCTTGGCCTTGACTATTGGTACCTTTCCAAGGTTACCATCCAGGGATCAAAGGTTTCTTTGCTTTAAACCTGGGGAACTGTGCAGGTGTTCTTTAGCTCAGTCATCTGGTAAGAGTGGGAGAAAAATGAGCTTTTTAAGTTCCAGTGTGTGGAGATCTCAAGGGTGCAGCTCTACTGAGCTGAGTGAGTGATAAGTACACCATCTCCTAGGAGAATCAGATAAAGCTGAAGTGGGAAGGTCTTTAGAGATTACCAAGGCTGATGACTCCAATCCAAGTAAGAAAAACATTTGCTCTGCAACCTACACACTCACACTCACACACACACACACACACACACACACACACACACACACACACACACACACCCCACATCACAAAACAGTATACTATATGTGATATAATCTGATTTTTCCTATTCTCTATTTCAATTTTTAAAAATACTGGTTGTGACTCATTTATTTTATTTTATGACTCACTAATGGGTTGTGACACAGTTTGCAAAGCACTATATCAAGGTCATCACTGTCATTTTCAAGCTGACAAGACTAGCGAGCCAGAGGTTTTCTCAAGATCACATCAGAGCTGGAATGGAACGCCAAGGGGTCTCCAGTAAAGGAGGGGTCCCCATTTTTCTGAGGCTCAGAGCTTCTTTTTGTTTTCCCAAAGTCTTGGGAGCACATACCTGGAGAGGGGGGACTACCCCGAGGTTTGTATTCAGTGGCCCTGCTGACAGGGGCAGAAGGGTTTTGCTCCTTTGGAAAACCTCAGAGACAAAGTATAGCTTGAGGCAGTGGAAGGAATAAAACAGCTTTGAAAGCAACCAGGTGAGGCTCTGTGGTCTCCCAGCCATTTTTATTTACTCGGTGGGGTTCTTGTGTCATCAGACATCAACACTTCCTGAAATTGTCTCTTTCCTGGACACACAGCGCCAGGTCAGCCTCCTTTAGTAACCCACTTGCTCTCGTTTTCTAACTTTTTCTAATAGTCTTTCTTTGTAGTGTTTTAACCTCTACCAACTAATTGTAATTCCAGTCTCTGCTTTCTCTAACAACTTCCTCTTTCCTGTCAAAATCATGATCTTAGCAAGGAGCATCAGAGAGGAAACCCTGCGAATCTTGTTCCCACAAATATCCAGCTCAGCCCTGGCTTGGAAATGCTCTTTACCGAAATGCCCAGGGATCAAGGCTCAATACAAGCAATCTGGGCAGAACTGGTGCTTTTCCCCCTGGAAATCTTCATCAAGATTTGCTATTTAGTAGACTTCTAATCTTTTAAGAAAGCCTCTAAAAATGAAGCGCCAAAGCCACGCTGCGCACTGGGTAAATAAAAGTCCAGCCTCCTGATTGCTTATTCCTTATACACCCTTAGAGAGTATGTAACAAAGGGGCCTGCTGTTTGCTTTGCTTAATCTGGTCTTGAAATCTCTGCTTCTTTGTCAGAAAACAATATTTGCGATTGTAAAAAAAAATATTTACCAAGGAACTTGGATAGCATAAGTCAAAGGCTAAGAGCCAAAGGTCAGTAGTTCTTACCCCAAATTTCCCCTGGACCTGAGTCCCTGCTGTGGAGCTCAGCTGCACCAAACAAACACACTGTTTTCCAGGTCCATTAAGAAGCGGACGTTTCAGGAAAGGAAGGAAAGGGAAGGCTGCAGCCTGTTCCTCCGTCAGAAGCATGAACTCTCCAGCCCGCCTCACAAAACTCCTGCTAGATCTCTGCATTGCAAGGTGTCTCCCTGGGGATATTGTGAGGACTCACCCTGTTTCACAGATCTGGGGAAAATACTCAATTTACAAAATCCTAAAGGGCAGATATTCCTCCGACACACAGCAATGATCATACGCTCCCTCTTCTGTGGTTTAGGCCAGATGTTCACCTATGCATCTCTGTGGCTAGGGCCTCCTGCCTGACAGTGGGGGACAGATGTGTATCCTGAGCATTTCTGTGGGGACCCTTCTTAATCTACAAAGCAGTTTTGGCCATCTGACCTTGTGGGCTAAGTTCAGGGGTGTTTCAATGGATCTCGTCACGTTCATTGTTTTCTGCACAGACCTGAAATCGGACACCTTCCCTACCCACCAGAGGATCTGGCATCTGGGAATGAGCCGCCATTCACTGTAGAGCAGTGAGTTTCAGGTTGTGGCTTTCCCATGGGTGCTCTACCATGAGCCAGAACCCAGCTCCTGCCAAGCCCAGGCCCACGTCCTAAGGCGCGGGTCAGGAAGGCCCGGTCCCCAGCTGGGACTGGAGCACAGGGAAGGAAATGGAGTTACCAGAAGGAGGCCAAGGAAGCGGTGCTCACGGAGCATGTGAAGTGCCCCGCAGGCTGCCAGCCCGGATGGTTCTTCAGTCTGCTGAGCGAGAGGGCTCTGAGGCAGCGCTGCGTCCTCCACCCTGGCCTCAGAGACTTAACCACCTGCTCCCTCACTCCATGGGCTCTATGAAGAGGAGTGAAGTGGTGGCAGTTTCTCCCTTGCTTGATTCAACCCTCATTCTTTGGTTGTCTCACTCTGTTAGGAAATTCTGTAGTTCTCTCAGCCCCAGTGCCACCTTCTTGCCACAACTGCCAATGTCTCTTACCTCATCAGGCTAAAGATCACTGGCTAATTCCTTTTGGCTTTGATTCTGTCCTGAGGTAGCTTCGATCAGGAGCATATAGCAATAATTATAAGTCACAATGAGCAGCACTGAGCACAGCCAGCTTAAAGACACGGCTTAATGTAAGGATCTTACCTTGAAGAACCAGGCCCTCCTTCTTGATGGTGTAGACAAATGAGGTAAAGGGAGCCAGAGGGGATTTGGCAACGAGAACCTGCACATAAAACACACGTCCCAGGGTTAGGCTAAGGAGACATCGGAGATGCGCCTTCATTCAATCTCCTTTCTAATCTGAGACAAACTGGTGACATATGATGACAGTCACAGGTTTAGTTTAAAAAAAAATTATTTTAGAACCAACTGAGTATCATTCCATCATTTAACTGATCACCTTGGAAGGATGTACATTTATTCCACCCATACTGTCACTCAATGCCATATTCTTGAATCAGTCCTTTTCGAAGTAAATTTCATTATTTTATGTCACATGCTTAAACAGTTACCTTTCTGTGTGAAGATAAACCTAGCCTGATTCTTTAATTTTATTCATAACCTTAGCTATTGTACTAAAAATAAATAAGTAGTCAAAATCTCTTAAAAGATAAAGATTTACCCTCATTGTGAATATTCAAAATTAATTGCTAAAGGAAAAGCTGTGGTAGGTTGCCACGGTGACCCCAGCTCTTCACCAGGTCCATATTGGTACCATTCCTCCTAGTTGCCTTCATGCCCCTTCACTGTGGGTTTGGACACATGACTTGCTTTGGCTAATAGAAATGTGTAAGTTCTCAGACTAGGACTCAAGAAGCTTCACATATTTCCACTCATTCTTCTATATTTCTGCTACTGTCAGAAAAAAATATATATCCAAGCTAATCTGCCATCTCAGAAGGAAGATGACAGTCACCTGGAGCAGAGCTGGCCAGCCAGGCCTATTCAAATAGTGACCCGCAGGAGAGCCACTAAGCTACATGCTTATTACCGTATGCCTGACTCTGAGATGTTGGTGTTGTCAGGAAGCATTATTGCAGCAAGAGCTGACTGATGCACCAGCCAACACAGCATTTCAAAAATATTTTGAGCAATGGCATTCTCCTAAAAAGATACCTACCTTAAAGGGAATGGTCATTTGGTCATTATCACTAACCCATTATCACACCTCATCTGGATCTACAGAACCTCTAAAAACTGGTGGATTGTTTTATTATAACATTTCTCCCAAAGGAAGACAGATATCAGCTTCCTGTTTTACAAATTAACATCATTAGAAACAGTGGCAGTTTGGCATTGAGCCACTTAGGTAATTGGGGAGGTAAGGAAGAAGAAAGAGATAATTTCAAATAACCAAAAGGCTTACATGTAATATCTCAATCTATCTCAATGTAACATTCACTGTCAACTGTGAGAAATGGTGGAATAATGTGGTGAAAAGATCACAGGTTTTCGTCATGAGTTTGAGTCTAGGCTCTTCCATTAATCAGCTAGGTGCCTATGGCAAGCCTTGCAACTTTACGTTGGTAGCCATCCCCCTTCTTCCTTTTGGTAAATAAGTTTCAACATTTCTCTGCCTCTTTTTCAACTAGGTGTGGCCATATGACCGAGCGTTGACTAACAGACTGTGAGTATAAGTGGCACGTAGAACTTCTGGGTTATATTTTCATAAGAAAACTGTGTGCTCATTGTTCCCTTTCCCTTTCCTCCTTTCCCCCTTCCCAAGGGCAGGAACCACAATCGACCAACCACGTGGATGTGGACATCCTGGGGTCACCTGTCCACCTCAGGATGGAGCCACTTGTCTGAACCACTATATTTTGGATGTGTTTGTCACTACATCATAGCATGACTTCTAACCAACTCTACGGCTCCGGACAACCTAGCTTTTTTGAGTCTCAGTTTCCTCACACGTAAAATGGGGATAACACCACCCACCTACATGGGATTATTGTGAGGATTAAATTAAGTATATAAAATGCTTGTTACTACATCAAACTAACAAGAATATTTTCAACCAATTCACCACATATGCTTCCCAAGTACTCCTTAGCTTTCACTCATCAAAAAAACAATATACTTTGCTTTTACGAGAAGGATTCACCTCAAGTTGAATCTCAATAACTTTTACAACTGCTCTAAAGTTATCTAGATAAACTTGCTTATCATCCTCAGAACCAATGAAGAGATGGTGGGCACTGACATCTTCCCGTCAAAAATATCTCACATGAAAATGAAGCTGGAAACTTTCTGACAGAGATAGTTTATGGATGTCCCTTAGGGAATGGCAGGTAGAAGAAAGGATGGTGTTTCTCAAACTTGAATGTGGTAGGAGTCATCTGCGGGTCCTGTTGACTTGCAGATTCCGATTGATTACCTTCTGAGTGGGGCCTGAGAGTCTGCATCTCTAATAAGTTCCCAGGAGATGCTGATTCTGTGGTCCACAGACCACGTTTTGAGTAGCTAGTTTTCAGGAAATCAGCCTGGCTGAAGAGTCTAAGATGGATGGACAAACAAGAGATGGGTGTCCTGGAGCCAGTTAGGAGGCTATAGTGATGGTTCAGAAATGAAATGGCAAGGGCCTCAACCACCGCTGTGTCAGAAAGAATGGGGGAAAGGAAATGGATAAAAGAAATATAAATCCTTTAGATCAAAGAGCAATAGATATAAACTAAACATATTTAAAACTTCAGATCTTTATTTTTTGCATGAAGCAATTAGATGTGAAACCAAAAAGGGATAAATTAATAATAATCAATAAAATATCACACAATATTTTTGAATATTATATTACCATTTTTATTTTATAGACTACAGAATCAAAGACCAGGGGGAAAAAAGGGTGTGATATTCCAATGCAACATAACAAATGGCATCTGGCCTCAGCCTTCCAGCTCAGTGGGGCTTACCTCCATTACCTGACTGCTTCCTCTCCCAGGGAGCACATGCCCACTTCTGTGGGCCAGTCCAGAGCCCCAGCCAGGAAGACCTCACCTGGAGGGACCTCACACCTGGAAGAACCTCCTTTCCAGGCAATCAAGGGGTTAGGACAGGCCACTGATTAATGCCCTGTCCCTCTCAAGCAGTGTTTAAAATAGGTCATCAAAAGGATGATTTGTGTGCACTAAGGAAGAGGAAATGATCGGTTACGTCAGAGGAATCCCACTTCCTCTTTTTCAGAAAGAGTTTCCAGATTGATAGAGCAGAGGGCTATCACCAACACGAAATATCTGATTTTTAGCAAAGAAAACTGTAACAAATGTTCAAGAGCCTTCTGGGTAAAGTGAAGACAAGTTAGGCTGCGTGCCAATCATATTAAGTGGTCTGGTAAGTGACCAAAGGATCAATAGCAATCTGGTGAGGGGCAACAACCTCAAGCAGAAACATACTGTATTTTAGCCCTGGTCCAGTCACGTTCAACATTCTTCCTGACCTGGATAAGGACACTGATGTGTTCAACCACATCCATACAACAAATGTGGCATCCAGCAGGGAATAGAACTCACAAAAACTGCTACTCTAACACAGCTTATATTCTAAAGGAGGCAAAAAGATAATAAACAGAATGAATGAGTAAAATATATGGTATGTTAGATGATTACATGAGAAAAAAGGCAAAGAAAAAGTATAGGAAGTGTACTGGATCAGAGAAGGGGGTCAATTTTAAATAGCGTAGTAAGAGGAGACCTCACTGAAAAGGTGACATTTGGACTTGTGGGTCATATAATTATTGATCCCATCCCATTGATAGGATGCTGAATATGGTAACAGAAGACAAAACATATAGTGCAAGAGTTAATATTTTAGATTAGAGAGTCATAATATCAAGACAAATCTCAACTTGGTTGGAATGTTGCATCCTACAAATCTTTTAGGATGTGATTTTATTGAAATATATATAAGGCCTTGTCCTTGAGAACTGAGGACCAATTATTAGTTATGGAATCTGGGAGATGAGATTTCGCATTCAGAGAATGGATCAAGAGTGTCAACTAACTACAGTTCAATACGAGTTGGTTGTGAGATGTGGCTCACACAAATCTAGTGTCATCTCAGGTTATACCAAAGGAGATGGTATCTGAAGCAAGGAAGAGATGGCCGTGCTCTGCTCCTCATTCTGCAAATCATGCTGGGTGCAAGGTGTTTGGATTGGAGTCCAAATTCCAAAAGGGAAACTGACAAATGAACAGGAGAACAACTGGAGGACCATCGAGGTGGTTAGACGCCCACAGCAACCCATGACCACAGACTCTTCCTTGCAAACATGATGGTAAAAGGCCCGTGGGGAAGGTGCATACTGCTTTTCATAGGAGTTTTCTGATATGGAGATTCTATGTGTTACACAGTAGAGAGGGGAAGTGCAAATTAGCTTTCTAGCCGAATAGATTTGGAAAAAGTGATGCTCGCCATGTATGTCTTTGTGAATGTAAATAGACTCTTCCCTGTTTTAGACTTGAATCCATATCCTATGCCTGTGCACTTCTGCCTTTCAAACTATAAATTATCCTCTTCCAAAGCAAGCCATCCTCCCTAGCAGATCATTTGGGCTGTGCCATTTCAGATGTTCAGTCATCCCATATGTTTGAGGTGTTCTAATCATTATCAGACGTGGGCTGTTGTCAAGAGCTGTTCTATCTTCTTCAACGCATAATAGCATAATACCCTGCAGGGAGGGCCTGATGGCTTAACAAAAATCTCCAGGGCCCTAGTGAAGAAATTTTATCACACTCAACCCGGTATGCAATGTGTGAAATTGGCTTTGGAACTCTCTGAGGATTCACGGAAACATGTAGTCAGGCAAGAATGAGTGCAGCCCTATGTGACTCAGAAAGCCTAGCGCGACACCAGTCAGGTGTGTGGCATTGTGAGCTGTTAGTTCCACCTCCTGCAAATAGCCAGATTGCTTTTCTCTTGAATGTTTCCTTCCTATCAGGCCAGTTTGACTCTACACTCTAATGAATATACTTTCTCCTCTCTTCATTTATTATTGCAAGAAACGTGGTCACTGATATTTTTAAATATTGTGTTTACTATGTACTAGATGCCGGGTCCTAAATCCCACTACCATCTGGAAGTAATTTCCGTTATTTGTACCACCCACCAATCCATCCATGTACTTATTCAATCCACAGGTATTTCCTGGGCACTTTCCTTTGTGCTGGGCACTGTTCTAGGTGCAGGGGGCAGATAGAGCAGGGGGCAAGACAGACAAGGTCCTTGCCC